GGGGGTGTCTGTCATCACAAACATTCTCACACGTGGGGGGGGGTGTACTGAATTTTCATTTTCTTGATTTCACAGTGAACCAGCTGCCGTGTAGAGTTGTGTAAAGCGACATGGGGCCATGTGAGGAGGTGAGACAGGATGAAAGTGAGTGCTGACGTGTTGCAGACTACAAAGCTATTTCCAGGAATTGCACAACTTAATCACGCTGTTTCTCTTTAAACTGAACTTTGGGTTTTCCCTTTTCTGAACTTGAACCTTCTTCGCCTGCCAAAGTCTCACCAGCTTCGACCATCTATTCTATCTGATCCACCTCAGAGGTGAAGGTCAGCTGCTCAGCGACCGCAGCGAGGAGTCAATGACCTGCTGCACATGCAGAGAGACCCAGTGTGAATGTGGCCTCCGTAGTTACATGTATTCGATTCCTGCCAGTAGAGCTCCCTAAACTCTACATACTGGTCCTTTAAAAGACTCTAATTCAGATGTGGAGAGGAAAAATATCAAGTTAATTTTAACTTCTGACAAGAAGTAAACAGTCATCTGTGCATGCCCACAGAACTTCTGTGTTCAGCTAAATTCAACGCAGCCTCATTATTATTTTACCATTTTGTTCTGCTTTGACAAATCAAAGTGTCTGATGGCAGAAGTAACATACATACAAATAATCTGACAAACTTTCTTGTCATTTTACAGCCAACTGCTTTATACCTCTACTGCAATTTAGATATAAAATCTCTACTTTTTCCTTCACTGCATTATCAACAAATTCTTTACTTAGTAAGTGAATAATACTTGTGTACTTTTATACTTTATACTTAAACTGTCAGTTATTAATACTTATGTATTTTTGCAATTGACACTTACTATCTTCTGGGTATTACTTTGACTTGAAGTACTGCAGTACAGAGACAGGCCAGTTAAAAGTACTTTTACATAGTAGTACTTTGACTTGAAGTACTGCAGTACAGAGACAGGTGACTGGATCCCGCGGTGACGCGCGCCACAGATGCGCAGAGCGAGCTCTTAGCGTGCACGAGCGCGGCAGGGCTGTCTCGTGCACGCGGAGCTCGGTGCCGGTGGGGCAGACTGAGGACACCCGGGGGCTCGAGCTCATCTTCGGCCGCTGCTCCGCTCAAGTCGTCGCAGAGCTCCGGGAAGATGTCTGTGATGGGTCCGCACCGGGAAACCAGCAGCTAACGGCCGCTACCAGAGTGTCGCCCGTCGGAGGTTGAGTTTGAAAGTTTCGCTGCGGGGATAAGAAGCAGAGGGACCGGTGTCCTCTCACGACCACAGCCCGTCGCCCTCCTCCATCTCCCCGCTATAGTCTGTAGCACGACCCGGGAGGAGTTCGGAGTTTTATCCGGGTTTTTTTTTTTTTCACTTGTCCTGTGTGTTTGGACTTTTCTGGGACATGTTGTGGAGCAGGTGTCTCGTCCTGCTGCTCTGCTGGGGGGCCACCAGCGGCGAGCAGCAGGCGGGTGAGAGGAGCGGAGCCTCGTCCGAGCTCCGGACGGACTCACGGAGACAGCGGTCCCCTCCGCCGGTGGAGCCCCTGGACTTTGGGTTCGTACCGTCGGCGGTTTATGACACCCACGCTTACTACGAGCCGGGGGCCGTAGGGATCCTCTTCCACATGGTCCACGCATTTCTCTACGTGGTTCAGCCGAACTCCTTCCCCAAAGGTGAGACGGTTCTCCTCGGGTGTGTGTGTCCTCCATCATCAGCCCTGGTTCTGTCTCTTATTCCCAGGATTCTCTCACAGGATGAGGGATACAGAGAATAATATTAGCTCTGTTTAATACAAAAACACTCATGCTCGTTGAAATTATTTGAGATAATCCAGTCTTAATCTTGTAATTTAAAATCCCCCAAAGAATTTTGATTGGGTTATAAAGATGCTAATGGTGAGATAAGAGAACCAGATAAGATAGAGTTTAATTAATCCTGATATGTGTTTGTGTGGCACATGCTGATTATACATAGTTCATCAAATAACAACAAAGGCCTACATACAGTACATACTGTTTATATGTGTAGTAAAATTGAGATAAAATATACATTTCAGCATAAAGTACAAATGAAAACTGCGTAAAGGTGCATCAGCGTTCCAGTATGATTGAGTTATTATTCAAAAATCTATAGAAGGATGCATCAGTGTTAAAGTATATGATGTCACAAATGTTAAAAGTGAAGGAATATGCATGTAAGAATGTATGACGTGTATTCAAGTACACTAGAAGTATCAGAATCAGAAACATTTATTAATCTCCGTAGGGAGATTCAAATGTCACCAAGCTCCTGAGAAAGAGGTGAAAGAGCAAAAGCCGGTATAAACATAGTAATATAAAAATCAAGTAAGACTGAAATGAAATAAAAGATACACATATGTAGAAATAAAAACTGAGTATGTATAGATTTACATTTGTACATGATCAAATAGGAGATCAAATAAATTGTAGGATTAAAATTCATAGCATTTGATTGAATGTGATAATGGGACCATAGTGTGATGTTAACACCTCCACAGATGGGCTTTTCAATGCAAGGTAAAACTGAGGGGTTAAAGTAATGGTATAATAAGACAAACATGTATATTTCTGTTGAATGTTGAATATTGTCACGTCTCCAGGTCTTTAAAAAGCCTTCAAGTGAAACGATCTGAGAAGGGAAACTAACTCTTTAGACATGAACTGCTCACAGGTCCTGAGCTGGGTCGGGTGGTCATAAGGAGGCTGTTCCTTGTTGCCATAGAGGTGGGAAAGTGTTGGGCCTTGAGGTGACGATTATAGATGGACTATAGAACACAACCTGACTGACCTGATGGACGTCACTAACTAAACAACAAAGTCCAAAAAACACTCAAACTCCCAGAGAGACGGAGGAAGTATCCCCACATGTGCACATCTGTAACATAGCATAGGGGACTCAACGCATAACTTCCATAAAACTCTTCTTTAAGTGGCGCCCTTCATTTCCTGCTGGTTCATGTGCTCAGTGACTGCGACGACGATGATGCTGTGTTGAGCCCATAAACCAAAGTTATGAGCATATTAACAGGATCAATCGCTGTCAGAGCTCATAAGTGATCCCCTGCAGGCCCACACTGGAACATTATGGTGATTCGAAGTTGATCAGGTCCGTCACATGATCAATGCCATCAGAGTGAATGGTGACTCTCTGGTTTAGTGCAGTAACCCTAGTGATTGATAGATAGAGCTGCTTACGACTAAACGGCGTTGGTTTGCGGGCCGTATGCACAACTATGAGTGGTCACGTTGGAGGATGACATGGTGCAATAGGATTGAAGGTTTTAAGTTGCTGCCATTTTGGTGTCCAGGGTTAGGGCTGCTGGCTCGGTAATCAATTAGCAGATCAGCGATTAGAGGAGGCTTTCTCAGTCACCTGCATCACTGCGTAATACCTTAATCCACTGGACCATATGCCGTTACTGTCGGGGACTCTCCAGTATGATTCACCGTCACACACATGCACAGGTAGAGACCACCTGGATGTGCCGTCCCTCCCTCCCCCCACATCATGTGTCAAACGTGTCTGAAATCATGGTTTAAAAGTTGACACACATCTAATATATAGAGACCTCCGATGTTAAAACACAGTTTCAATCTGCTTAGAGACTTTGAGGTTGGCAGCCTCATCTACCAGCGCCTCTGAGCCCTAAATAAATAATAAGCCACAGAGTCAATTGCTCTATTAAAAGCAGTGATCAAACCGATATGTTTGTTTCAGGAGCTGATGCCAATATTTAGAGAGCAGGACGGCTGATGCGTAAATACTGGTATCACTGTGAACAACGACAATAACCAAAGACACATAATTGCTGAACTAGAATCAACATTATTGAACACTAATGCATTATTTTTGAGATTAAAACAATTTCAACTAGATGAAATTCATACAAGCTGCATACTCAAAGATATCATTTGACCAAACATGTCAGATTTTTTTCATTATCAAGATCCATGAATGATTTCCTGGGAAATCAGTGAATATGTACAAAGAAAACGTTGTGTCTCTCAATGTTAAACTTCCTTCAATCAAGTTCCTGGTAATCCGTCCCTTCATTTTTGTGTAATCCTTCTGCAAACACATACAAACTAACGGACAGGGGTGAAAACTTGCTTTGCAGAAGCAAAAAGTTGAAAAATGGGCATTGTCTCTGTTTGCTTAAGTAAATATACACTTTGTAAACTACTTATTAAGTTGAATTGAAAAGAATATCCAAAAGTAAACAGTGTAAAATAAACTGTTATCCCAACGTGACATTCCTAACGTATTTAGCCTGACCGATTAATCAGTCCATGGCATCAAACCCTAACAAAATATCAGTGAATGATCTCTGAGTTAATCAGTGTCTCATTCTCAAAAAGCTGAAATTGCTTTAAACTTTGAAAGTGGGAAACAAAACCTGATTTATGAAATACCTCTTCACATAAAGTCTTTGACGCAGGGAGACAGAATCATAAACTGTTGGAAAAGTGGAGTTTCATTTCTTAATTTCGACATCACTCAGGATTATTAATACCCAATTATTTTATTGTCTCTGTTGCTTGTGTTGGGATAAAAATCTCTATCTCATCCTATCAGCATCTCGTCCGATGCTGTATTAACTGCATTATTAACACAATTTGCCATTTTCCTGCTTTTCTCTGCAGAACAAGATACATATGCACTACACACACACACACACACACACACACACACACACTTCTCATTTCAGTGCTTTTAGAATATGTAGATGTCTTAAATAATGTTTCCTGTGACACTGATCTGGAGTCAGGTGACTGCTTTTGGAGAGGTGACCGTGTGGAGGAATGGCCTCGGTTGAGTTGAAGTTAGGTTGGAGAAATTAGTTTCCTGCTTGTATTTTGGTGGAAACACATCATGAAAAACTTGCCTGTTGCTGTAAACTGAATCGTTTCCCGAGCAGCAGCGGCTCAGGCTTAACTTCCTCCTCCTGACTCGCTCATCCCTCGTTTCGAGTCTGTGTGAAGCTGAATTTAGGGTGAAGAAGCATTTTGGCCTCTTTCACTGTGAGAGGAGTCTATGTCTTCTTATCCCCCTGATACACACAGGCTAGATTAGAGGATTAGCATCCACAGGGCCAATGCTACCACTGTGCTGCTACCACTGCTACAGATGGCATTGTCACACACACTCATACATGCACATACTGAAAGTGGGTCATAGTCCTGGTATTTGTCTGTTTGCCTTAATTACTGTGATTGGAAGTAAACAGGATGTTTATCATTGAGCCAGTGTCTTAAATCAGATCACACTGAATTAAGAGAAACCCAAATTGTTTTTCTGGAAGGAGATCAGGTTTGAATTACTCCCCAAAAACTTTCACATCTCCTGCAAACACAACATTTTATTGTCCTGTTGATGTAGATCAGCCAAAAAATAACTGACTAACTAATCACTTTTATTGTTTTTAAGTTGGAAAAACATTTTTAATGATAAAAAACATGAAAATAATTTTACTTCTAACTTCTCACATGAGAATATTTGCTGGTTTTCGTTCTCCTCTGTGATATTTAACTATTTTTGATTTTTCATAAACTAGCAGTTTAAGTACAGTCACCTTACCCTCTGGGAAACATGATGTACTTTTCTAATATTTGTGTAACCTTAGTTACTGTAGAAATGTTTTTTGATTATTCGTTTATACTTATTATCATAATATTATATTCATTCTAATTTCTTTTCCATATTAAGTTGTCTATTATTATCTTAGAATTACATAAATTATATTATACATACGTTTTATTAATCCAAACATTTCATTTATTGAATTAATTAGTAATAAGTACTTATTACATATACTAATTATTGTTGATATCAGGGTAATGTTTTATTCACTGAACTATGTACACTCTGCACTGGATCTTTATGTGATGTCATCTATAGAGAACACCACAAAAGTGAAAACAGGCATTCTACATAATCTTCTTAGTTGTGTTGCTCCAGCTCACACTGTGCTGCGTAGCTTTCTTTAGCTCCGGCTGCCATTAAAATACATACAGTTCTTCTTACTTAGTCAAACACACAGTACGCACAGTGAATAGTATTTTAAGTGACATGAGCGCTACGTAACTGTGCTTTGGCAAACCTGACATGACTTATGCAACATCTTCTGAGCTGCAGCCAACAACTTCACTTCCTATTAACATTAACGGTTCTAACACAAGTTTGCCAAAGAAGGAGGGACCCTGCAGTTCACTTGGTACAGAACCCTTTCAATCACATTGTCCAATTATTGGCTGCCACCACCAGCAGGTCACGTGATCGATAACATGTCTCATGTTTAATTTGATCGTTGAATTGAATTGTGATGGAACCTGCTTCTTCCAAAGGGATGCTCTCCAACCCACCTGGTAGAGCGGGTGTTCCACATATGGAGGTTCGAACCCTCCTGCAGAGGCTGTAGATTCTGTTCTGGCCCCTGAAATGACTCTGTCCTGTAGGTAGACTTAAAGAAATAGTCACTTATAAACAGTACTAACAATGTTAAAATGATTAATTATGATGATTTGTTAAAATTTTTTATTTTAAAGTTTTAGAACTAACAGTAAACAACGAAATAATGAAATGTGCATTTTACTGAATCAGGAGTTGTGTTGGACGTGTAGACTATGGCCCCTTAATGGCCCCGCCACTGTGTCCAACATTATGTGTCAACTCCCATCATCAATCCTACTGAATCCTTTCTGTCTCTGCTGTCATTTAAAAGCTGTCTTTCTTCCCATTGAAAAATCTCATCAAAGCAAGCATTCCTTTCAGGCAAACACATGATACTACACTTCCAAAATTCACATTTAATCGCATCAGGGGCGGAATCTAATCATGCAAATGTTTGTTTGAGCCGTCTGTGTATCCGACTGAGAGTTTTATTTTACCTTTGACGCCTTTCATGTAAACAGCAGCAGAGACGGCGGCCGGGTTGTGTAAGGCCTCGCAGTAATCTCTCAGAGCATGTCGGCGTAGAGGATTGTGCTCGACTATATTTACACATTACAGGAAGAGGGTTGTAGGTTCTGTCTTACAAACCACTACAGCTAACAAGCTGCAGCGTTAAGTTGTTCACTGCTTGTGTTTTAAGTCTCACAGCTCCATTTATAGTCTTTAGATGTGTTTGTTTAGTTGTGGATCCAGTGTTTGCGCCCATTGGTTATGAATGACCAGGTCAAACTGGGGTTTTTTCATTGATTAGTCGATTAAGAGTCAAGAAACAAACACAAAATGATCAGGAGAAATTGATAATTGAAGAAAAGTTGCGATACTATAAATATTCTCCTCAGAGCAAAGACAAAAAACAAGGAAATATCACATTAACCGAAGAGAAAGTCTGTTTCTGTCACACTGAGTTCATGTTGGGCAGGGGTCTCTTCATCCTTACAGGTCTAATTCTAGTCGTTCTTTAACGCCCACCCCCCACCTCTTCAGCCCCCTTTCCTTTCGTTTGCCACAACCACCTCTTATACTGGGTCACTGAACTAAGCTGTCTAAGCTTAACTGCCCTCTGCGGCTAATGCTAACTAAGAAGCTGAGCAACAACAGGTGGTGTCAGATGTGCTCATACGCTGCATCTGCAGAGCAGACACGGACGTCTTAGCCTCGACGTGTTGGACCGAGATCAGTTTTTATTAAATGCTCACACACGGGTGCAGCCACTGATGAAAAGAAGGCTGCCACTTCCCACCATGAGGAGAGGATACCTAGAGGATTAACCACTCACCATAAAGACCCTCTCAGTTTTAACAACTGCAAACGTCCTGTGATTCAGAGGCACTTTGGTTTAGTCATTCAA